TTAAAGTGAATTTTCCATGATGGCCATAGAGTAAAGCTGGAGATGTTTCTAATTATGCTTACCAATCAGTACAGCCACTAACAGTTCATTTCAAGAACTAATCTTACTTAGATTCAGTTATGGAGTGGTCACAGTGTTTTGAAATACGTGTATGGTATGTATAAAAAATACAGTGGAAACAAAAACAAAATTATTTTTGAATGTGCCAGAATTGAGCGAGCAGGCTAAGAGATGTCTATTTGCAGTTTATTCTCTTTTGCACTTTGCAGAAATATCTCTCTGTGATTTTATCTGAACATTATTTATTATAAAAATAAAACTTATTATGTAAATGTGAGTTTAACGTCATTTGATATGACTTGAGATAAAATATGATAAATATATAAAGAAGATTAACTACAGGAGTTCCTATAAGATACAGAATACATGTTTATTTTGACAAAAGAAACCAAGGCTCTATTTGAAGAGATGCAATTAAATGCATATATTTAGATTATATTGTCATGCTAATTACCAGTGGTAAAAACCAATTAGGACTAGGGCTACCAAATCACCAGACTACATTGCATATTCACTAGTATACCTTCACTGCTCTACCGGTTTTTGCTGGAAGCAGATGAAAATGAAATATGTTCTTTTGAAAGTCCATATTGTTGTGCATTTTGAGCCAAATCTTGTTTGTTGTGCTTTCGTAAATTGTCCCACAAAAGTTACCCGAACTGCGTGTGTGAGAAAGACAGACTCTGGCTATAGGAAACACATGCGGCTGCTTTAGGTAGTAATTAAAGAAAAATATAAGATGCAAAAAACCTCCTTTTGACTCAAATGGCTATTGTTTGAATAAGCGAGGTCGGTAATCTGTCATTTGCAAAACGCTGGAAGTGAGATTTTCATTAAATGTACTATGTCAATGACATGTATTTCTCAGCATTACACACCTCATTTATCATTCTGGAATGAGGACCAAGGACCATATGAATGTAGAGTTTGTGAAGGTATCGCCTCACAGCCCTGGAGGCTGATGACCCCTCTTTATCTACACAGCAGGTAAGGCACAAACAGTGGCAATGTGAGCTCTCTTTGCAGTCCCCTGCCAGTGTGCCTGACTGCTAAGCTGGGGGAACAAAGGAAAGATAGCATATGGATAGCAGATTGTAGGAGCACTGAAAAAGGACTGAGGAAATCTATGTTGGGTGTGTGGTTCTGCCAAAGATCTCTTGTATGACTTTGGCCTTGTCACTTAATCTCCTTCTGTCTCCGTTCCCCTTTGCAAACAGGGAGAAGGCGTCTCTCCTCTCCCCCAGGCTTTGCCTGGGAATCTGTTCAGACCCCGAGTTCTCTTGGATGGTGTGCTTGTGCAGCATGGGGTGGAGTAAGACTGAGCTTCACTGGGCCCTCTAACTGCTGCTATCATCCAAATAATAGGAATTACTAGTAACAGAAGAGTAACAAAGAAATCCATGTCTTGTTGATAGATTTTACTCATCTTTTCAGGCCATTCAATCTTTGGCCTCTGGGTGAAGCATATGAACAAGGCAGGCAATTAGTGTCAGGAGCAGAGCTGTGAATTCTTCTTTTATAGGGTACCAAATAATGCTGGAAATAGTGGCGTTGGTGGTCTCTTTTTTTTTTCACTTGTCTCTTAATGCCTTTTGAAGACGTTTGCACCAAAATAACATCACAGTGTTTCTGCAACGCACCAACAGAAGTGCTGTGCAAAAGGCTGTATTTTGCTTTACTTTGGCCCTGGAGATGGCTCCCTGAGGGATTCAAAAAAAGCCCTCAAGAAATGTAAAGGCTAGGACAGGAACTACGGTTTCTACACCTCTGTTATGCACTGTGCATATTTATGGGGCAGTATAAAGAATAAATAATAATCCACAAACACTGCATTCTGTGCCCTTGTCTACCAATTGTGCTGATGCATTACATGACGTAGCTACTGCCAATGGAACTAGGATCTGATTTTTAGCTTCACCTGAAATGTATGTCCATTTTGCACCTGCAATTTTGCAAATATAAATAATTTCATATGTAATTTTTCAGACATACCCATTGGTGGGTACAACTGATGCTGTTTATGGACAGGATTTCTCAGAGGAGCTGTAGAAATGGAATTTCAGAATTATCTGGATGCCTAAAGCCTCTGTGCTCCTCTATCTTTCTAAGTATATGACAGTGTAGCTTCTCTTCAGATAAGGTGTTGCTGGTCTAGAGGACATCATTTGCACCTGCAGTTGTGCACACACGCAGAAGAAAACTGGAGAAATAATGAAATCAGAAATGAAACCCAAGCGCTATTTTTTGCATGATTTACTGGACAAATGTGATCAGTTTTATCAGTCTTTTTTCCTGTAGGGAA